GAATGAGATGCTGGGACTGGCAAAGGGTTGGATGTGAGGGGGCAAGACACAGAAAGACAAGTAAGAAGAGGTTGGGATAAATGGGAAGCTAATGAGGATAATGAATTATGCAGATGAGCAGACTCAACTAAGGCCTCCAATGAGTCAGGGAAGACCTCCAAACATCTTTTCAGATAAAAAAGGTGCCAAATGCAAGTTGTGCAGAGTAGTAAACATACTTTGGAAAGAATGGCATCCTGACCCAGAAGGTCACAACACCATATCAGCCACATCTGAAAACCCTTCAGGAGACATGTGAATTGCCTGAGCCAGCATAGGTATATCGATAATGCATGCATAATTATGGACAGCATCAGTCTGATATGGGAAAATTGAAGTTGTGAGACCCCACAATGGAATTAGAGAATCCAAATGTTGGGAATCAAGATAAGGGAAGATAGATCTATGAAATGCAAAAGAAATATATTCAGATGTACGAGGCGGACAAGGCATACTAATTCCAGACCAAAGTTGATCCCCAAATCAGGCAAGGGAGGGAAAACTAAATATTGGCCCCTAGATTCTTCACCATAAGTGCAGGTTGAGAATCATAGGAAACTGGATATAAGGATAAGACAGCACAAACTTGATCAATTAATTCCACAAAGGATGAAGGAGGTCTGGGTAAATCCCCCAATATCTCTCGTGACTTCGAAGCATATTTGTGAAGGGGGGGGTGAACAGATTGTTCAATCTCATCCTCCCTGTCAGACATCCCAGGATATTCCTTGTGTGGTGGTGAAGGTTACGTGAACATGGACATTTCTCATCGAACAATTGCCATCACGTTCTTGACTGATGAGTACTCAACCCAGTAGTAGTGGTAAGGAAGCCAGCAGCAGCAGTAACAGTTGAGCTGTGGTAGTTGTAACTACCTGAAACTGTGAGTGCATACTGACAATTCCAAACATGAAGCAAAAAAAATATGAAAAAGGAAAAAAAATTAGGAAAAAGCAACCTTGCACAATTCAAAAACATGAAAATTACAGAAATATTAAAGAAAAACTTAATCTGTAGTATAAAAGATAATGTTGACAAATTTGTAAGAAAAAACAAGCATGTCCGTAAAGTACTACTGCAAATCAAGAAGTGATTAGCCATTTTGTGAGATGAGGTAAGATATCGTATCAGAAGTAAAGGTTTGTTATTAGATACATTTCTTACTCACAACCTGAAAGAAAAGGCTTGTTATGGGATACATTTTCTCTATTTCTGATTTTGAATTTTAAAAATAAGGCAGCATATTACCAGATATATTGTGATGTGATATGAATCTAAGTAACGCATGGAGAAACATACAAACGAGAACATTGTGAGTTGCATGTAAACCATTAAGTTTTTACAGAAGGTCAATAATATAAAAAAGTTGTACTGTACTAACATGCATTAAGTGTTTTGTCCTTGTAAATTTTTAAAATGAAGTCAAGTTTAATTCTATGCTTATGAAGCTGTAAGGGCCACGAAGGTGTAAATATTAGTTGAAATGTTGTGACCACTATAAGGCTTAAGAGGATATACTTCATATTGTTACAAGTTCTAGCTTTTAATTTGAACTGTAAAGTTCTGCCATGCTTCACACTTTTCCTTCATGCTTACACTAGAAATAAAGAAATATTTATGAAATCATACAGAAAATTCATCAATTTCATTGCTATGTTGTTTTCTTTCTTCCCACCAGGAGATTAGTTGGGAGAAGTTTTCATACTTTAGGCCTTTAAACACAAGTCGTAAGTGAAGACCTTGGGCTTGAAAAGTGGTCTGCATCTGGAAAGAAATCAGAAACTGTTTCTAAAGTTTACATGTTATCGTATAAAATGAGTTATCTAAAGAATTTGTGTTACTGAAAACTTGGGTATTATTTCATTGGATTTTCAAAACGACCAAATATTATTTATACATAGTATTATATAAATTATTTAAAAATTTCTCTATGTCACAGACAGACTTTCTTTTAAATTGTTAGGCTTAAAGCATCAATAATATTTTTAATTTTCTTTGATAAAATATCTCAAGTAAATTTTTTGGAAGATGACATTTGCCGAGTCTCATAAACATCTGGACTCTGTTACATGGTTTATTGAAGAATTTGCTTGGTGATGCTTATGGATATCTGGAATCTGGTAAGTGGATTATAAGGAAGCTGTTTGTTGAATCTTATGGACATTTTGAATCTGATAAGCAGATTATATCATTAGGAAAGTTGCTTAATGATCCCAATTAATTTCTGAAATCTTGTAAATAAATTATTAAGAAAATTTCTTGGTGATCCTGATGGAAGGAACTCTGGAAACTTTAAAATTTTTAACTGAATGAATAAAAACATTCTATCCTAGAGAGTTAACAGCAGTCTTCATTAGAACACAATATTATTCAGATTACATTTACCTGAAAATAAACCAGCCAGTAAGGAACAAGGAAGACAAACACTATAAGAATTATGGCTAGTGACTTAACATCTTCCACTGCATTATCAGGAAACTTTCCACCAAATCTAGCCTTGGCCCAGTCCAACCAAGATGGTAAGGAGTCTCTGTAACCACAAAATTTTAACATGTCTGGCAATATAAACATATAAGGTGATAAAAAGTTTGTTTTAACAAGACTGTAGTTAAACATCTGTCACCTCTCAGCACTCATTAACATCATATGAATAATCTCTTATCTTACATTTCTTGATTCAGAATAACCTAGGGTAACAAACCTACTTGTCCTTGAGTTCCATTACATTAGACTTAGAGCATCATCAATCTACTTTGATCATTTTGAATTTTAAACAAAACAGAATAAGGTAATTAACCATAAAATATTCATTTAAAAATTCCTTATAAATAAGTCTTCTTCTTCTCTCCTCTGTTGATATAAATTTTCTTTCATAAATGAGTAAAAATACAAGTACATTATGTGTTTTATAACAAGTCTAAACAAGATTACGAATAGTATATTTTTAACATTTTCTCAAGTGGTTTCTTATTATACCTGCCATCTGAAAGTCTTCTCTGCAGACGTGAAGATATCCAAGCATTTTTTAGAATCAATAACACTGTAGTTACAACACTTCCTGCTGGTTGATGGGTGATGTATAGAGGTCGAACTACAACAAAGATGATTACAGCAACACCAAGAAACACTGTTGGGATCAGGTATCCCAAATAAAAACCATACTCGGTAGACTGCTGGATGTAGGCCATCCCTCCAAGTGCCACAAATGCTCCAATGTTAACTGACCAGTAAAACCAATTAAAAAATATCCTCAAAAACTTGCCTCCCTCTTCTCGAACCTGAAGAACAAAAATAATAATATCTGCAGAAAACTTCACAAATTAATTTTTATTTACTTCTATTTGAAATATTCACAACCTGTGAGTTTTAATGATTTCAAGTCATTTGGCTTTAAAGATTTATTTTTCTAAAAATGTGACTGATGTGTGGAATGAGCTGCCATCAGTAGTAGTGCACATCAGCACTTTACGCGATTTCAAGGGGGGGGATATGAGCTGCCATCAGTAGTAGTGCACATCAGCACTTTATGGGATTTCAAGGGGGGGGATATGAGCTGGGTGTGCAAGGACAGTCTCAGATCGTTGTTTGTGTGTAACATTGTTTAATCATGTAAGCTTAGTGTAATGCAATAAATAAAGATAAGCTTTAAGAATTTACCTTCCTTTTCTCTGGAAACTAAAGATGACTTTATTCAAGTATTTATACCAGCTTGGATAAAGTGGCTATTTGAGGTCTGAAGAGTGGAATGATAAGGCTGGGATGACTGAAGTTTTTCTGTGTTAATAAAATTGTTTGCCTGATGATTATGTGTGTATATATGACGAAGTGCAGATGAACTATCTACATGCAAAGAATTACACTTTTTGACGTGTATAGTTGTTTAGGTGTATGGCAGGTTATTTTGATGAGTCAATTGACTTTCTATTACCTAATTAGTCTGCAAATTTAAAGATTCTACATGGCTAATGATAGTAAACAATATATATAGGAGAAATAAAAACTTAGGAAAGATGGTAAAATATTATGTGTTATCATCATTAAATATATTGTTTACACTGTCTACTAGTACTATAAAAACAGCTATTGACAATATAGATGAAATGCATCATGTCACCCAGATTCAATGCTCAAAACATTCTCATACAAGCATTGCAACTGAACAATTAATCATATGTATTGTTAAAAGGGTTTTTTTTTCCCCATATCCTTACTTTCTAATGAAGCTTTACCTCTATCTGATTATTTTAGTGTTCGGTTATGCCCAGAACTTACCTGTTCCGCTCCAAAAGGTGCAATGTTTGCCTTAACAATCCCATTAGAGATGCCTATGATTATCAGCAACAAATATACCAACCAGGTGCAAGGCTCATGGTCTTTATTAGGCACTACTAACCATGGAGAAAGTAATGTCTGATTTGTCATGTTGATTGGTGGCAAAACTGATGGTGAATTATGGAATAAACACAAGTCTGAAACTTTATTTTTTGATAATGCTAACACTGGAAGAAAACTATAGGCAGCTAGGTATGTTACAAAAGCAACTAAAATTGTTGAAAACCGACCCAATATTGCATCTGCAAGCCATCCTCCAAACAGTGATGATACAAAAGTTGTCCCAGTAAAAATAAACAGAGCATTCATAGAATTGTATGATGCCCACATATATGGATTTCGATTCAAAAACAAAAATAGATTCCCAGCAAGAGAGTAAAATGCTATTCGTTCCAACATAACAGTCAGTAATACTGCTAAACTTGAAAAAAAGCGTTTCCATCCTCTGTTAAAAGTGACTTGACTTGTTCTAATGCCTCTTCTTTCTTGAGTAGATTCCTCTTCACTGACTTCAGCCAACAATACTTGCTGATCATCATTAATTCTGGCCATTTTCTTAACTAGTATTTACCAGTGAAATGTTTCTTTAGAGCACTAAATCATTACTTTATAGTTTAAAACTATCAGCATAGTAAAAAAATAACTACTTCTATTTTTTAACAAATAAATTATAAAATTAAAACATCTTTAAATTTTATGAATGGTCACACTTATTTTAGAGCCTATTATTAGTTTAAATACTAATATTATACGTCTCTTTATCAAGGTTTATCGACACTGTATTTGTAATTTACAAATTACACGATATAACATGGAAAAGGTATAATATTAATACTAATAGTACAATTTACAAATAGTGAAATACTGAAACAGGCGCAGATTAATATTAAGAGGCTGCAGCATCATTATTTCTGTCACATTTTTCAATTTTTGCAAAGCACGAATTTCATTCATTTCTGCGTGATTACTCGAGGTAAACCAGATCTTAATACAAAATGAAAAGTATTTCCTATTTAATTTTATATTCCAAAAGCATAACTAAAGCTTCACGAAATCACTTCGTTAAATACGAACTTAATCAACTACCCTCGTGCTCGAATGTTGTGAAAATAACAGTTACCACAAGTGGTTCTCATCTTGTCAACAAGAGGGGGTTTAATTATATAGCTTATTAAATTACAATATTCTTTTCTTGTGAAAATCATAGCTTGTTTGTTTGTTTTTAATTATACACAAAGCTACACAAGGGCTATCTGTGCTCTGCCCACCACGGGTATCGAAACCCGGTTTTTAGAGTTGTAAGTCCGCAGACATACCGCTGTGCCACTGGGGGTGAATATCATAGCCTTGGATTAATATGTTACTTATATAACATAGGGTTTTAATATAGATATTAGCGTTATATGATTAGTTTTGTATGTTTATATTTCTTGAGTAAATACGTACTCAAAATGATCCATATAAATTAGAAGTAGAGCCATGCATTAAAATATAATAAAGATAATAACTTCTGTACATATTTTTTAATTAATTATTCTACAATGGTGAAAATTAGTTTAGACAGAACAAACAAACAATGCACATAACCAGCTTATACACCATTCAATGTTTTCAATGTGTATTCCTGATACATTTTATAACAAAGATGAAAATAATGGACAGTCCAATCTTTTATTTATCTGTGGTTTGTTGCTTTCAAACAGTTTATGAGTTATATTTAAATTTTAGTTTTTCATATATGTGCGATTTAATGTGTATAATTATCCTTACAATTTAGATATATCCAATACATTGCAAGTCTTTATTTAATTTCTGTAGAGCGTATTAGTGTATAAAAGACATTTTGATACTAGAAATTGTTTGTTTTGTAATTAAGCACAAAGCTACACAATGGGCTATCTGTGCTCTGCCCACCACCGGTATCGAAATCCGGATTCTAGTGATGTAAGTTCGCAAACATACCGCTGTGCCACTG